GGGAAGCCAAGGAAGACGCAGGGAGCAGCACGAGGGGACAGCTTGTCCGCAGACAAGTCGCGGACAAACGCCCGAGATCCCCAGACACGGAACGCAGACGCATCGCCAACCTTCCCCGTCCACAGCAAAGCTGGGGAGGTCTCCGGCATGGAGACCCTGGGGTGAAGGTTGATCTAATGCGTCGCATACGGAACCGTAAACGGCCACAGAAAATGGGGGGCAGCCGCATGCATCATGGACGTATGGGCGACGTCCATGACCATGCCAATGCGGCGCTCAGCAATCCCGTTTATCTCTGGAGAGTCCGGAAGCGTGAAGGTTTGGCGGATGCCTCGTGCACGAGAGTAGGCTCGCAGAAGGCCAGAGGAGAACTCTCCGCCTCTGTCAGAGTGCAGACGCAGGACAGGAAAGTCCGAGCCGAAGCTCTGCCTGAGCTGGAGACGAGCTGCGCGGATCCAGTCGATCAACACCTCAGTGACATCACCCTTGCTGCGCAAGGGGAAGACTGCGGTGTAACGCGAGTAGTCGTCAACCACCAGCAGGAAGTAGCGCTCGTGACCCTGTCCACGGACGTGGGCCGGGCCCCACACGTCCATGTGAAGCGTCTGCAGCGGGGCCTCTGTCGGAGGAAACTGGGAGGAGTGAGGGGCAGCCCGCTGTCGCCCCTCGACATAGGGGACGCAGGTAGGGGCAGGCCCCGGAGGAAGGGGAGGGAGGGACCGGGGAAGACCAGAGACAAGGACACGGGAGGCCATGCCTCGGAGATGAAGCAGGGAGGGGTGACCAAGGCGGTGGTGCCAGAGGAGAGTCTCGTGAGACAGGAGGCGACACGAGCAGGGGGCGGACTCAGGACCAGACCTGGACGCTGCAGCAAACACCTAACCCGACGCAGCTACCTGACCAGACGCAGTGACTAGAGGAGACTAAGTGGTCAGTGTGTACAGGTTCGACCCCGGCCGACGTGTAAACGTGGTCAAGGTCAAAGATAGCTACTCCCGCCCTAGACAGCTCGCCCTAGCGAGGGATCTCAGTGGCCTCAAGGAACTGGTGACGCCAAGCGTTCGTCAGGCGCCCAAAGCAGCGCTGGGTGGAGTGCGCACCCCCGCACTGCTCACCCGCGCAGTCGCCGGTGCGCAGGACGTAGGTGCACGGACCAGTACCCCCACCCCGCTGGCGTGCAGTGTACCACTCACGAAGCTGCTGAGGGGGGGGGGGGGGGATCTCACGAGTGCGCTGCTGCTGCTGCTGGCGCTGACCACCACCGGAGCCGACCCTCTTCGCAGCGCCACCCCGACCATCTCCACCTCCTCCGCCGCCGCCTCCTCCACCGCCGCCACCTCCGCCACCTCCGCTCCCACCGCCACCGCCGCCGCCGCCTCCGCCTCCACTGCCGCCACCGACGCCTCCACTCCCGCCACCACCCCCACCGCCACTCCCACCCCCTCCCCGCCTCCACCGCCGCCTCCACCGCCCCCGCCAGCTCCTCCAGCGCCCCTGCCCCCCTTGCCCTTGCCAGGGCGGCGTCTTCCGCTAGGGGTAGACGCCGCACCGACCGACTCAAGACAAACGAGGTCTGCCTCAGCAGTAGAGGCAACAGAGGGCAAGAGAGGAGAGGGGGAGCACCCCTCAAAGACAGGGGCGCGAGGGTCACCACGAGAGGCTCCTACAGCGACTATGCTCTTCTCTGCTGCTAGGAGGCGCTCCTTGAGGAGGTCAATGGTGAGGGTCGTGGGGCAAACAGAGAGAAAGTGGTCCCTGACCGGGCGAAGTGTGTCAGGGAGCCGGGTGACTATGTAGTAGAGGGTGATGTACATAAGGGGGGGGGGGGGGGCAGTTCTTGGCGCAGAGATCAGCGGGAAGGGCAGCGCGGTAGCGAATGTCACCAGTGCGAAGTTGCGTAATGAGGTCAGCGACTATGGGAAAAGCTGCGATGTCAGGGAAGAGGTACGGCAGGATGAGGCGGCTAAGTATAGCAGAGGCAGGGGAAGAGTAGCGTGCAACTACAATGTCGTACAAGGTCTTAGCACTCTTGTACTGGCTAAAGTGCGCACGCTCAGAGGTAGGCAAGTGGCGACGCACAGCAAGACGTGCAGCATCATCGCGTGTGGCCCACTGTGAGCGAACAGTGGCGTCAGCATTAGCAGCAGGGGCAGGAGAGGCACCATAAGTGAGGTCAAAGAGGGAGAGACCGTCTGCCCTATCGCACTGTAGGAGAAACTGCAGGTCATCTACCCAGACGTCAAAGTCAATGGCCCGACCCTCAGCGTCAAAAGTGAGGACACTGGGGGTAGCCATGACAGCAGTAGACTAGAAGCGCGAGCAGTAGGCTAAGGGCAGTGCAGTGGCAGAGGTGTTGCTCTTACCGGGCAGGCGAGAAGGACCGAGGCTCGCCATCAGGAACGGGGCCGCGACCGCAATGACAGGGTGTGGTGGACAGGGCGGCTTGGCGGTACCAGCGACTCAGCAGCAACGGGGGCTCAAGCGGCTCGGCGGCAACGGCGGCTCGGGCGGCTCGGCGGCAACGGCGGCTCGGGCGACTCGGCGGCAACGGCGGCTCGGTGGCTCGGGCGGCTCGGCTGCTGCAGGGGCAGCGGCTGCTGGTGCAGGGGACGGCGGTGGCCGCTGCTGCAGGGACGGCGGCGGCCGTTCCTGCAGGGACCGCGGCGGCCGCTGCTGCAGAGACGGCGGTGGCCGTTGCTGCTGGGGCGGCGGGTGCTGCTGCAGGGGCGGCGGCTGCTGCTGCTGCGGGGACGGCGGCCGCGGCCGCTGTAGCGACTGCGGCTGCTGCTGCTGCAGAGGCGGCGACGGCGGGCCAAGAGAGGCCGCAAAGGACGGCGGACGGGCCGTGAAGGGCGGCACGAGGGGCCGCGGAGGGCGGCGACCGGCCATGAAGAGGCCACGAGGAGGGGAGGGGGAGCGCAAGGGCGGCACGAGGGGCCGCAAAGGGCGGCTCGAGGGGCCGTGGTGGTCGGCGACGGGCCGTAAGGGCGGCGCGAGGGGCCGCGAAGGGCGGCGACGAGCCGTGACGGGCGGCGCGAGGGGCCGCGAAGGGCAGCAACGGGCCGTAGGGGGGCCGTAAGGGCGGTGCGAGGGGCCGTAAGGGCGGCGCGAGGGGCCGTAAGGGCGGCGCGAGGGGCCGTAAGGGCGACGCGGGGGGCCGTAAGGGCGGCTGGAAGGGCCGTCAGAGGGGCCGCTAAGGGCGACGCGAAGGGGCCGTAAGGGGCCTAGAGAGGGCGCGACGGTAAGGAGGGCACGCGGGGCGCGACTCGGGCAGGAGCGAAGCGCGCTCCGGGCAGGGAAAAAAAATCGATTGGGTGGGCCCTAGGAGCGTTCCCACGAGGGAACCCGCTCTGATACCATGTGAAAATTATGAGGAATGAAATGACGAAGGGAAAGTTGGGTACAAGTACAAACCCTAGAAAACTGTACCCCATATGTGCTACTCCACTATAGCCTACAGCAGCTATGTCATATCAATATTATTTTTCTTGCCATCAGGTGGTATTATACACTTACTGGTCGTTCCTTCGTGCAAGACGAGTCCTGGCCTTACTGCTCCTCAAAGGTGTGTCTGGTTCGTCATCTTGTTCGATGCAATAGACAAATCACAGCAGGCTGCTGCAAAGAAGAGGAGCCAGGATCTTCCCCGTCTAGGTATTTTCTTTTCGCTTTCCCCTTTTGAAACAAATAGAGACACTGCCTGAGTTGTTTGGCAGGTCTGGGACACCAGTGCAAAAAGGTTTCGACACTTGAATTTGAATAGTGGACCCAACACCGCAAGGACCATGCGGTCCCCAATCGCTGTTCAATATACTTGCACTGGGGTGCGTCCTGCCTACAACCCCAGTAACATGGCTTTTTTTCTGTTGGAAGCATAATTTATGAAGGTGGAACACTTTAGAGTGAGTAAGGATATTTTGCGCGACGCCAGAAATCAACCTCTTATCAAGTGTGAACCACGCCCTGTCTACCTGGCCGTAAATCCTCTTCCGGGGACACTTTTACTCATCTGAAAGCACGTATTACATCGATAGAGTTCTTGTAGTTGCAATTGCAACAGGAGCAGTGGTGGCAGAGGAGGGAAGGGCCGTTGACGAGGGGAGGGAGGAGGGGATACTGCAAAGCATGGAGGATGGGGATCATGACAGGGAAGCTAACATCTATTACGATGCCAACCATGTAAGTCCAACCTCCACATTTCTGCTAGTGTTGCTTTCATGAAGCAATTTGGTTGCCAAAAATCTCACAGACCCTTTCAGTAAGAAGAATCTCTTAGACTCTGCATTTGTGCCCTGCTGGAGCTGCTGCTGGTAGGTATACCTTGTACTCGGATTTTTTAAATCAGATGCACTCACTTGTAAGTGTGTTTAGGGTTTACACAGGGCAAGCAATCATGCGCCAGCTGCTGCTCCTCTCCTGCTACTACAGCCAGTCGTGCCACAGCTAGTACAACCAGTCGTGCCACAGCTAGTACAGCCAGTCGTGCCACGGCTGCTACGGCTGTTTGACCTACAGCCATTGTGGGTCCTCGTGCGGCGTCCTCTCGTGCCCATCACGCTTCTGCACCAACTGTCCGGCATGCTGCCGCCTCTTCATGTAACCTACCTACATCCCCAATGGTTGGGGGTTGGGGGGGGGGAGGCTGGCAAGGTAAGGAGATGGGGGAGGTTGGAAGAGGGGTTGGAGGGGACCTTGGGGGGAGAGGAGAGAGAAAGGGAGAGAGGTTGTGATGGATGGGATTCCGATGTCTGTGCTGTTTTTCACCATGGTGCCAGAGAAGTGGGCTCTGCTGCTGTCGGCTTGTCATCCCACGGCAGTCACACTTTTGAATTTCCAGTTCCTTAGAAGAATGTAATGAGCTTGCCATGAGCATTACTTTCTTGTGGTGGTTTTATTGTTTTTTGTATCCCACTTCTTTTCCCAAAGTTTTCCCACATTCCGTACCAAGTCACTGTGTCATGTTTTCTCATGCTCGTTTTCACGCTTGTGTGCTTGCTCCCATGTTCCAACCCCATGTTGCAGCCCATGTTTCTCGCCCTTCCTCTCAACGTGTTGCATCTTCTTCTGCCACTCGCGCTACAGCCGTAACTACTCCTTGCACCACGACTCGAGCTGCTTCCCGTGCTGCCACCCGGTCCGCTTTGGCGCCTCACACTACTAACATCACTGCCAACCGCATCACGAGGAGCACGACCACCCACACCACCGGCGTCACTAGCATCCGCACCATCAGCACTACAGATGTCCGCACTAACAGAACCACTGCCGCTCGCATTACCGACACAACTGCCGCCCGTATTATCGGCACAACTGCCGCCCGCATTACCGGCACAACTGCCGCCCGCATTACCAGCACAACTGCCGCCCGCATTACCGGCACAACTGCCGCCCGCATTACCGGCACAACTGCCGCCCGCATTACCGGCACAACTGCCGCCCGCACCACCCGCTCCATTTCCGCCGGCACTACCAGCACCGCTGCCACCCGCACCAATGGCTCCTCTGCTCCCCGCGCCACTGGTACTTCTGCCACCCACACCAACAGCACCACCGCCGTCCGCGTCGCCGACACCATTGCCGCCCGCACCACCAGCAGCACTGCAAGCCGCACTGACAGCTTCACTGGCACTGGCAGCACAGTGACTTGTTACGGAGTGGCAGCTGCCTCTGGTGCCACACGGTCCGGCTGGAGCAGTCCGTTTTCAGCTGCGGATTCGCGCGCCAACGCGTGTATTGTTGGAGGTAAGCCTTGGGCATGTGTGTCCGTGCGTGCAGTCACAAGCACTGGAGGTAAGCCTTGGGCGTGCTGGTCATGGTGGTGGTGCCTGTGAAGACAAGGCACTACAAGGCACTACAAGACAATGCTGAAAAGCATGAGTAGTAGGGGGAACAAGGAGGGCCCTCAAGGCGAGATGGGAGGTTTTTCTTCCATGTGCTTGAAAGTTCACTTCCATCGCTCGATGCTTGCCGACCTCCTCAACCCGGTGCATGCATCTACTCCATCTACGATATGGTGGGAAACCAACTGTTGCAACTCATTTTTTATCAATCCATCAAGCCATCCTTACCACTCTCTTGTTTTCCATAACCTGTTGTGGCTCCAGCTGTCTCCTCCCTCTGTGCCATTCCATCTCTTCCCTTCTCACCATGTTCACCATGCCTTAACCATTCTCCCCTCCCAACCCGTCTATCCATTCTTCCTTCCATGTTGCAGCTATCCCCTCCCATGTTGCAGCCCATGTTTCTCGCCCTTCCTCTCAACGTGTTGCATCTTCCTCTGCCACTCGCGCTACAGCCGTAACTACTCCTTGCACCACGACTCGAGCTGCTTCCCGTGCTGCCACCCGGTCCGCTTTGGCGCCTCACACTACTAACATCATTGCCAACCGCATCACGAGGAGCACGACCACCCACACCACCGGCGTCACTAGCATCCGCACCATCAGCACTACAGATGTCCGCACTAACAGAACCACTGCCGCTCGCATTACCGACACAACTGCCGCCCGTATTATCGGCACAACTGCCGCCCGCATTACCGGCACAACTGCCGCCCGCATTACCAGCACAACTGCCGCCCGCATTACCGGCACAACTGCCGCCCGCATTACCGGCACAACTGCCGCCCGCATTACCGGCACAACTGCCGCCCGCACCACCCGCTCCATTTCCGCCGGCACTACCAGCACCGCTGCCACCCGCACCAATGGCTCATCTGCTCCCCGCGCCACTGGTACTTCTGCCACCCACACCAACAGCACCACCGCCGTCCGCGTCGCCGACACCATTGCCGCCCGCACCACCAGCAGCACTGCAAGCCGCACTGACAGCTTCACTGGCACTGGCAGCACAGTGACTTGTTACGGAGTGGCAGCTGCCTCTGGTGCCACACGGTCCGGCTGGAGCAGTCCGTTTTCAGCTGCGGATTCGCGTGCCAACGCGTGTATTGTTGGAGGTAAGCCTTGGGCATGTGTGTCCGTGCGTGCAGTCACAAGCACTGGAGGTAAGCCTTGGGCGTGCTGGTCATGGTGGTGGTGCCTGTGAAGACAAGGCACTACAAGGCACTACAAGACAATGCTGAAAAGCATGAGTAGTAGGGGGAACAAGGAGGGCCCTCAAGGCGAGATGGGAGGTTTTTCTTCCATGTGCTTGAAAGTTCACTTCCATCGCTCGATGCTTGCCGACCTCCTCAACCCGGTGCATGCATCTACTCCATCTACGATATGGTGGGAAACCAACTGTTGCAACTCATTTTTTATCAATCCATCAAGCCATCCTTACCACTCTCTTGTTTTCCATAACCTGTTGTGGCTCCAGCTGTCTCCTCCCTCTGTGCCATTCCATCTCTTCCCTTCTCACCATGTTCACCATGCCTTAACCATTCTCCCCTCCCAACCCGTCTATCCATTCTTCCTTTGTGTGCTTCCCCCCCCCCCCCAGCTGAGAACACGCATGCTGAGTCAACCTCCTCCTCACACCAGGGGCAGTGACACCCCCTCTTGCACCCATTCTGATCTGATCTGATCTGATAAGATCTGATCTGATGTCATGTATGTCAACCAAGTTGTCCCAGTGTCGCTTGTAGCTGTGTGAGCTACTTGTTTTCGTTACATGCTGATCGTAGAGAGAGCCTATTTCTCTGACTATGCACTGCCGGTATCACTTCAAATGCTCATGGTCAAGCGCTACACACGTTGCTACCGCATAATCACTAATGTCGACCTCACATTTCTCATTACGGTAATAGTCATACGGTACCAGTCACAAAGCACGTCCGCTGCACGTCTGCTGTTAGGTACACCATGCGATAAATCAAGACGTTCCAAATAATTAAGTCTCAAAGTAGGAACACAATGGAATGGATGAACTAGGGAAGCAAAGGATACAAATAGCAACCCTATAAGTGTTGTACTCCCTAGAGTGCTATTCACTGTAGCCTAAGTACCTATAATAACATTTGACACACACCCATCGGCTAAGTGAGGGGCATCAAAGCAAGCAGGGTGAACAAACAGTCACAAGACCAGTCAATGCAAGAAGCAAAGCAAGCTCAAGGTGGATCTCAAGGACACCACACAAATTCCGAGCACAACCAAGCGGCCACAAGGCCAGTTCAAGAGTTCACTATGATATATATAGCAAAGCACAACAAGCAGAGCAAACAACAAGTCTACAGCAACCGAGGGCCTACCTCAGCAAGCCCCAACTGCACACAGAACCTGTGGTGGTCACCAGGCGCCAAGAACTTGGTGAAGACGTCTGCAGTGTTGGCCTATGAGGCCACAAAGTCCAAGCGAGCCTAGCCGCGCCGTTGCAACTCTCGCAGGAGGAAGTGCCGCACGTCAATATGCTTAACCCTGCTCTCTAGTCGAGGCTCTCGACAAGAGGATCATGGCCTTGTTGTCAGCGTACAAGGTCGGTGCAAAGCGAGGCCGCTCACCAAGGTCAGCGAGCAAGAAGGTCAACCAGCAAAGCTCCTGTGCCGCCATGGCACCAGCGTAGATCTCTGCCTTTGCACTGGACGAAGCCACAGACGACGACCATGTAGACCTCCACGACACAGCACCAGCACCCAGACTGAAGCAGTAACCCTGAGTCGAACGCTGAGTCTCCACCTCGTCAGCGTAGGAAGAGTCGTAGTGACCGGTCAACACAATTGGATGTGTCCCTCCAAGCACAAGCCCCATGCCTGATGTAGTCGCCAGATACTTCGCCACCCTCACAGCAGCTGTTCAGTGAACTGTCTCCCGGTCGCAACAAAGTGAGACAGGACGTTGAAAGGAAAGGCGAGGTCCGGCCGAGTACAAGTCATCAGGTACATGGGGCAGCCCACAAGCTCTGCGTCGGGGCCACTAGACTCAAAGGACTCGTTGGGAAAAGGGCCAGTGAGTCGGTGGTCAACGGGAAGAGGAGAACTGAAACCCGAACCGCCGAAGGACCTGCTGCACCACGTGTGACTGAGTCAGTGTGATGGTGCAAGCGGCTCTGTCCCTGGTGATCTGCAGGCCAAGGTAGCGCTGCAGTTCACCGAGGTCAGTGCACTTGTGTCTCTCCTGCAGTTCAGATTTCACCTCAGCCAAAGCCGACCTGTTTGTTGTAGCAAAGACCAAGTCGTTGACGTACACTAGTGTAAAGAAAGGAGTGGAACCGATGCGAACAAACAGCGACGGGTTGGCAGAGGAAGGACGAAACCCAAGGTCACGAAGCGTGGAGCGAAGATTGTCGTGCGACTCACGGGGCGACTGGCGGAGACCGTAGACTGGCCGCCTCAGGCTCCACTAGGTCCCAGGTGGGAAGGTGCCAGTGAAGCCAGGAGGGCGGCGCAGCCATATCTCCTCGTGTAGGCGGCCCTGGAAAAATGCAGTGGAGAAGTCAAGGGAGTGCAGCTCGTAGTCTCGCTGTGCTGCTACGTGCAGTAACACCCGAAGAGTAGTCATCTTCGGGGTCGGGGCGAAGGTCTGGAAGAAGTCAACTCCTTCACGCTGACTGAAACCCCTAGCCACGTAGCGCACCTTACACACAGGCGGTGAACCAGGCGGCCGCTTCACCTTGAAGAGCCACATGCCATCGACAACGTTCGCCCTGGGAGGAGGAACTGCGTCGACGTACCTGCCTGTGGATTTCCATAGCCACTTTCCACTGAGAGGCCCACTCCCCTGACACTGCCTTACGGTACGTGCGAGGTGTTGGTATGTTAAGGGTGTCGGGGTCTCCCTCAAGGGAAATCAGCATGGCGCAGAGAGAGGGGGAAGCGGCTGCTAAGAACTCCAGCTCAAAACTACCTGTCCTCTAGGACGTCACAGCCAAGGGCAGACTCACCCCCGACGGACAGAGGACGGGGAGGTGGAGCAGCCACCACACGCGTTGCGTAGTCAAGACTGCGTGTAGAAGCAAAGTCAGCGACAGTGGCAGTAAGAGCCGAGACAGACGACGGAGAGGCACGAGGGTTGGTGACAAGAGAAGCGAGAACATGAGAGACAACAGGGAGACCAGCACGGTAGTAGTAAGTGATAGGGTGTGAGGAAACGGTGAGAGACGACGCAGGAGGTGAGGGGAGAACAGACACAGGTGGAGAACGACGAGGAGGAGAACGAAATAAGACGGTGCGGAGGTCGGCAAGAGGAGACGAAAGCCGAGCACGTGGAGGACAATGACTGGTCCAGTCGTGCCGGACAACAGGAGGAGTCGACTGTGACTGAGGAGGAGAGAAAACAGTCAGAGTCGAGTCCGGAGGAGGAAACGTAGGACCGTACGCGGTAGGAGACTGTGAGTGATCAGGAGGAGAGGAAGGAAGACAAAGGGCCCGAAGGCCACTCACCGGAGGGAACAGCTGCTGCAAAAGTGACGATTGCTGCCGCCGCTGCTGCTGCTACTTCTGCTGCTGCTTCTGCTACTAGTCCAACAGCTGCAACTCCTGCCTCTCCTGCTCGAACTGCTCCTTCTCCTCGTGCTCAAGCCGGAGAAGGGCCTGGAAACGGGTGTCGTGGCGGTGGGGAGGCGCAGTGGCCGACGCAGTAGGCGAGCCTCCAGCTCCTATCTCCTCAGTACCAGCTCCTACAGCGCCAGCACCTCCTGCTCCAGCACCCCCAGAACTAGCACCGCCAGTGCCAGCACCTCCACCTCCAGCACCCTTAGAACTAGCACCTCCAGTGCCAGTACCTCCAGCACCAGCACCCTCAGAACTAGCACCTCCAGTGCCAGTACCTCCAGCACCAGCACCCCCAGAACTAGCACCTCCAGTGCCAGTACCTTCAGCTCCAGCACCCCCAGAACTGGCACCTCCAGTGCCAGTACCTCCAGCTCCAGCACCTCTCGAACGGGCGCCACCAGACCGAGCACCGCCAGTGCCTGCACCTCTTGCTCCAACACCACCTTAGTCCACAGTAACATGTCGCGGAAGTGCCTGCTGAGGGGACTGTGAGGAGGACTGCGGGGAGGGAGACGCTACCTGACGCACGACCGAGGGCAGAGGGGTAGCATGAGACACACTTCACTGGGCAGGACCAGGGGGGGGCGGGGGTACCGGAGGAGCGGGAGCAGGGGGAGGAGAGGGTGCGAGGAAGAGGGGGGGAGGGGGAACCGGGAGACCTTGACAGGGGTACCGGGTGTAGTAGGACACGGACTCATCAAAGCGGACGTCACGGGAGTCGTGAAACTGGTGGAGGGGCGGGTGGTAAAAGGAGTAGTCGGGAGAGCCCACCGGGAAACCAAGGAAGACACAGGGGATGGCGCGAGCCGAGAGCTTGTCCGCATAGGTGTCGTGGACAAGCGCAAGGCAGCCCCAGACACGAAAGGCCAACCCAGCACCAGGGGACCTAGTCCAAAGACTGGTCGGTGAAACCTCTGGCCGCGAGACACGCGGCTGGAGGTTCAGCTGGTGCACGGCGTAGCGCAGCGCGTAGGGCCACAGAAAATGGGGCGCACGTGCATCGATCATGGATGTGCGGGTGATGTCCATGACCAAGCCAATGCGGCGCTCAGCAACCCCATTCTGTTGTGGGGATTGCGGTAGCGTCTAGGACTGTCTGATGCCCTGCTCGCCGCAGAACCCGGCAAGGACGCCGCAGCGAAACTCACCCCCACGGTCGGAGTGGAAACAACGGACACGCCTACCACGAATGCCCTCAGTGGCCAGAAGCCACCAGATCAGCGTAGAAGTCACCTCGGACTTCTTCGCGAGAGGAAACACCGTAATGGACCTGGAGTACTCGTCAACGGCCACTAGAAAGTAGCGCTCCCTCTCAGGTCCCAGCATAGGGGCAGGGCCCCAGACGTCCAGGTGGAGAGTCTGGAAGGGAGCAGTGGCTGGACAAAGGGAGGAGGAGTGCGGAGTGGTGCGCAGGCGGCCGATGATGCAAGGAGTGCAGGGTGGGGCAAGCGAGGGAGGGAGCGACGGAAAGACGCGCGGGAGACCTGAGACAATACTGCGACTGACCATGCTGCGGAGGCGGGGGAGCGATAGGTGGCCAAGGCGGTGGTGCCACAAGACGGTCGGGTGGGCGAGGGACCAACAGGAGCAAGACACAGCAACCTGACCAGAGGGGATGTGGAGGCCGCGCAGGATACCAGAGGGGACCACAGGGCACGGGAGGGTGGTGGAGGTGCGCGCAACGATTGGTCCTGAAGAAGGATCAGCCAGAGCTACCGGAACCGGAGCAAGGAGTGGTGTGAGGGTCGTGTGGTCGCGGGAGGAACACTGCGACGCGCCAGAGTGCAACGTGAACGACAGAGACGCCTCAGCCGGAGGCGTGTCAGGTCCGGAGGCTACACAAGCACCTAGAGCAGAGACACAAGCACCTAGACTAGAGAGGCACTGGTCTACACTAATAGGAGGCAAGCATCCTAGACTACGAACACGTGAGCACACAGATCCATCAGCACTATAGTCAACATCAGAATACAAAGCATACTGACTAGCATCGTCCATAGACAAATCAAACACAGGAATCTTACGGGCTAGCAGGCGAGCCCAGCGCGAGGTGGTCGCCTC